TAAACTTTTTTATTTTTGTTTCTATATTCATGGAACTCACCAAATATGGGTCATTCAATTTGTCTATCAAATAATATGTCAGTACATTTCATGCATAAGTTATGTTACCGTCAGCTGCATACCAACACGTGAATTATATCTCTACTCTTGATGGCTGTGGAACTCACACATTAAAGGTTATATTCCGTTGAATCCCATGCGCACTTGATGTGATATCATTTTTTCTTCGACGCATTGGTGAGTAAATTTAATGACTCCCTATATAACATTCAGTGTTCTAAAAATCGACCTAAATGGCTAACCATTGCCTCCATTAATCCATAACCATTTAAAAAATTAAAAAGTTTATTAGACAAGCGCCTTAACGAACTAGGTCAATTGGGCGCACACGGAGGTACCTAAGCAGGCAGGTCAGAGAGTGATATTTATTTTTCAAAAGGTGACTTCAATTTTCGTCAACCACAAAAACAATGCTTCGACTTTGAATGGTGTTCATTAATTGTATTTGCAATTGTGGTTTTGATTTGGGAATAAAAGGGAGGAGATAACGGTGGCGAAATGGTGCTTTAGTCGACGGTCATGGTTTGTGTGGTTGAGGTCCTGTCACGTCCTCACATCGTTATGTGCCTGCATGAACACGTTTACACGAGAGGAGGAGAGCGACGTGAGAGTGAGAGTGAGAAGGAAGAAACTAGAACGTCTAGAAGACTACAAGTATTGCAAATTGCATGTCGGCTCTCTAATCTCTATGGAGGTCCAAATCACTTCACATCTCATAAGGTACCAAAACAAATTGCATGTCATTTTCTTTTCCCCTAAGTAGTACCAAAGTTGTCTAACTAAAGAAATACTAGACGAGACTCCCTTCCAATGATAGGACCATTTAAGCATTATTAACAGGATAATTTCGACATAAAGGGGATTGTTTAAAAGTTGTACCAGACATTCACTCTTTTATGCCGAAGTCTAAACTTTATTCAAATGAGCAGAGGTGAAGCCATGAAAGGGCCATAATGGTCTTGGGCTAATCTGAAACTAAGGGAGGGACATATCACTAATAACTTTCAATTTCAATAGTTTTAAAAGTCAAGCTCTTTCACGCACGGGCGGAGCCACCCACAAGGCTAAGGTGGGCTGTAGCCCAATGAGGTTTTTTTTTTTGGAAGTATAGTGCTATCTACACAACCATGAAAGGGCCATAATGGTCTTGGGCTAATCCGAAACTAAGGGAGGGGCATATCACTAATAACTTTCGATTTCAACGGTTTTAAAAGTCAAGCTCATTCACGCATGGGCGGTGCCACCCACAAGGCTAAGGTGGGTTGTAGCCCAGGGAGGTTTTTTTTTGTAAGTGTAGTATTATCTACACAACCATTTTTATTTCTCACATATCCCTTTTAGTTTTTGGCATTCAGATCGAATGAATTGATGAAGATGAATGAAAAAAAATCAATAAGGGTTTGTGAATAACACTATTCTTTTTTAAACTTGTGCTTTAATGGCTTATGTTAATGCATGTAGCCTATATTCCAATACAGGTTATTATTTCATGCATATTTAGTAGAGGATAGGTAATAAATAATACTTTTTATGTTAAAAATAATAAATTAGTTTTATCTCCCGTCCACCTTCTATCCTATTCGTTAAAGAAAAATATCATTTACCCTATGTGATTTAGCCTCTGTACTTCTTTCTCAAGAAAAGAAAAAGAATTTTATTTTAGTTCACAATTAAATCCCTATCTCTGCATATCCTTACTTTTCATTGCGATTTTCCAATAAATGTAACCTTGGTATGTTCTTAATTGCTTTATTTACTTATCTTTGATTTATTTAGTAGGTTAGTTATGTATATGGTCCTTGAAGTTGTCAGTTAGGGTTATGATTTCAAGAATTGTTTATATTCTATTGTTGTTTTTTTTATATTGATTATAATTTTATATAACAAAAAAAAAAAAAAAACTTATGATTTTATGATACTAATTTCAGCTAGCCCACCCAAGAAAAAAAATCATGGCTTCGCCCTTGCTTTCACGCTAGCTGTTTTTACACCACATGATAGTGAGTGAATTAGATACACAAACTTAGTCCAGTCGTACCAAATCAGCTCAAGGCTACCCTGATATTATTTTCACACAAAAAAACCTATAATTATACCTTTTATTTCCAACCAAAAAAAAAAATATATATATATATATATATATATAAATTAGGGGATTAGGTCCCCAACTAGAACATTTTCCCTTTTTTCTTCACTATTGTTCGATTTGAGGTTGGCTCTTATGTAGTTACTGTGAGTTTTGAGGGACAATGGTGATCAAAAGAGGGTCGGTAGCTTAGGCAGATCCTTATTTTTTTTAAAAGGACTTTTATTTTAAATCTGAGTCATGATACATACTGGGCATGGGGTTGAGTTGAGGACGAAGATGAGGGTCGCTAGCTTAGGCAGATCCTTATTTTTTTTAAATTAGGAGAACGTTTTAACGTGAGCTTTTTGGACCCCTTCTGATCTAAAATTCTAGCTTCGCCATTGCAAATGAGTAATGAATACAAAGTTTAAGCACAAGAATTTGAGTAAGTTGGAAGCAAACGTATAGAAATGTATCTATAGTCATCTTTTCTTTTTCTTTTTTTTTTTTTCTTTTTTTTCTCCTTTGCCTCTCATCAATGTGGGATAAGTTGATCATGTTGTACTGTACGTGACATCATGTCCAAATTCCACAAGTGTTTATATGGACTTGTGGGATGTGTGTTCAACTTATCTCGCGTTCTGATCGATTTGTAGTAGAACGACCGAGTATGATATAATAGTTTCTGGTTGTATTTTGAGCAGTTTCCTATATATGTTGTTGAACTTTTACTTTGCTCTAAGAAAAGTGCTTCATATTTGACCGAAAAAAAGAAAAGTGATTGATGTAGTTACTTGCCTAAGCTTATTGAGCTTGATTGGATCCCTTTGTTTTGCGCTTATCAACCTTTTATGTGTCTTCTTGTTGGCCTTTGGTTCTCGAGAGGGTCTTTGGAATAATTCATTCTGTCGGCTATATATGGTGGAAGTGTGAGTATCAACAAAGTTACATAAAATTTGTCCAAAAAAACAAAGTTACATATATAGAAAAATAAAATTTTGGTGCCATTACTCATATTGGTTGACTTTAGGTGAAATTGAGTATCAACAATATATATATATATATATATATATATATATAATCTGTTAAATTTTCCAACATTTTTGTTAAATTTTTACTAATTTAACAGGTGAATAGTGTTAAAAAGACTACTTTAGCTAATTTTTCATTCTTTCATCTTGAATAATACTCTTTATTCTCACAAACCTTTAAGTTTTTATTATTAACAATTCATTATATCTAAAAAATTATTAATCATTTCAAAACGAAAAAAAATTCGACTCATTCATTCTCTAGAAGTAGAACCACTTTCTCTCTCTTCCTTTCCTCTTAACTCACGGGTCCACTCTTGAATTTTATTTATTTTTTTAACATTTAACCTTGAGAAGTGGCTTCATAATCGCAAAATGAACAGTAGCTCGTTAAGTTTATATAGTATCAGATTAATATCAACCGTACATTTATTAATACATTTGAATAACTAAATGATTTCAGATTTGGATGATATTTTGTAGGAATGATCCTCAAATAAAGATTGAGACATTGAACAATTTTGATTGTGAAATTTCTATTGTACAGATATATTATTTGCAAGTGGAGGAATGATATCATCCTCCCAAGAGGGGGATTGCAAATGTTATTCATTAGATAGAGTCTTTTATAGCCTCTTGGAGATGATTTTTATGGATTCGTTCTTTAAACTAGCTTTCTATTAGTTTTATAGTCTTTTGGAGATTCTTTTAGATTTATAATAATACACGACCTTCATTAAAAGTCAACCAATGTTAACACAATCAGAGAAAAACTTAAATGTACGTAATCGTTGAATGTATCATCTATCGTGGTTGTGCACTATTCATAGAATTTTGGACATGCGAGACATATTACATGCAAGTTTTTATCGTTTGAATGAGTTTAAGTCTTATGAGTAGTGCAACCCTCATCTTCCTTCCCTATTCCCTTTCCTCCAAATCTTTTAAGTTTACATTCGACTTGGCTGTTATTGCGGTATCTAGGATGCTACTTTTGACCTTGGTCGTGATTTCTACCTTCATGGAATGTCTCTCCCGTTGTTAACAATGATGGTTGCTCCTTATGAAAACAAGTGGTGTTCTTGGCCTTATGGCTAGGGCTATTGTTCTATTGTTTCAACCATAATTTATTATGTGTGCCTTTAGCGTAGATCTGTCATGTTATTCTGATTTGTTGACGATCTATATAAGTGATAAGTGTTATGTTAGTGTCGAAGTAATGATTTTTATCTTTAATTTGTTGGTTGTGCATATTCTCACCAATTCAAGTCAACTTTGTGTTCAAATTCATCTAAAAGGTTATGCATGCTTAGTTCTTAGAGAAGGTTTACTCTTATTTGGCATCATGTATTCTTTTTGTTGGATATTTTTTTGCAGTTGCGTTGAAAAGCATTTAAGTTGATGTTTTTGCAAATAAATTTTAAAGTTTGATGTCCTAAAAAATGAAAAACATTTAAGTTAATTTTTTTTTTGTTGTAAATATAAAGTTGAAATGAACTAAACTGAATCATTTTATTGTAATTAGTTCAATAGTAATTTTGAAGTAAAATTAATACAATCCAATTATGTCGAAAGTAACCTTCTATAGTATAAACTATCAAGTAATAATTTCAGGTGATTTGATATCCTAATAAATAGGGTCTTGAATTTCTACTATGCTTTCTGAGTTTGAAACATCATCCTTCTCATCCTCTTAATAATGAATATTTTTTATATAATAATAAAAAAAAAAAAAACTACTACATTATTTTAGAATCTTCCATTTTCCATGTCCCATTTCCAAATTATGTTACATTGAAAAGCAAAAGAAAAAGACAGATTATCGAGAGAAAAACAAGGGACGAGTGGGGACCAAATCCATGGTTGCAGAGTCAAATATGTGCTGATGTGCGTCGCAGGAAAGAGTTCAGGACTCTCTGACTCCCATTAAGATAAAAGCGGCGTTCCAAGAACGTTCTTGACGCCGGTCACGCCCACCAGCTTATAAATATCAGAAAAACATGTTTGGTTTGGTTGACCGCCGCTTCTTGTCTCAAATCTCAATGCTTTTCTTCAAGGTACGCCAGTCCTTTTCTGTTCATCTTGTTCTCTGTCGTCCTATTCGGTAAAGGTTCGATCTTTGCTTGTTCATAAAGCCTTCCACTTGATACCCTTTGCTTCCTGTGCAATAAATCTGCAAAAACTCTGATGGGTTATCGATGTTTTTCAATTTCCCTGATGGGTTTTTGAGGGTTTTCTATTTTGCTTCTGATTTGTTCTTGTTAGTATGCTTTATTCCTTGATGGGTTCCTTCTAAATTTGTCGGTGAGATTAAATCTTTGAATTTCATCATTTCGTGTGTTGGATCTCTAAGTTTTAGAGGGGTCTTAGAGATTACAATTGTCCCAGATATTGTGTTTTTCTGTGATTGTTATGGATCATCCAACTTTCAATGGAGTTCCTGATTACATGAATGGTTTTAGTATTGGTGACCTAGCCTTCTCACCCAATTCAACTCAATTCCCAAATCTCATAAATGAATACCAATTTAACCAGCTCTCTCCGGATCCAAACTTTATGGGTTCCTTCTGTCAGAATGAAGCAAACAAGGCTATGCAGCAGAATGAGCAATCTGTTGGAACTAGTAACGGAAAGACTCGTGCCAAGAAAAATGGCGATAAGAAAGAAGTGGTTGATTTGAGAGCTCTCTTGATTTTATGTGCACAAGCTGTTTCTGCTGATGATCGTAGGACTGCTAATGAGCTACTAAAGCAGATTAGGCAGCACTCTTCCCCATTTGGCGATGGTTCTCAGAGGTTGGCTCATTGCTTTGCATATGCCCTTGAAGCACGGTTGGCTGGCACTGGAACCCAGTTATATACTGCTCTATCTTCTAAAAGAACGTTAGATGCTGATATGCTGAAGGCTTATCAGACTTATATTAAAGCCTGCCCATTCATGAAGGCCGTGATAGTCATTGCAAACCACACAATTTCAAAATTAGCTGAGAAAGCAGAAACACTGCATATTATAGATTTTGGAATCCTTTATGGTTTTCAATGGCCTGCTCTCATCCATTGCCTGTCAAGAAGACCTGGCGGGCCTCCAAAACTACGCATTACGGGAATAGAGCTTCCCCGAAGTGGTTTTCGACCTGAAGAAAGAGTCCAAGAGACGGGTCATCGTTTGGCAAAGTATTGTGAGCGGTATAATGTTCCTTTCGAGTACAATGGCATAGTAAAGAAATGGGAAACTATCCAATACGAGGAACTCAAAGTCAAGAGAGATGAAGTGCTTGCGGTGAATAATCTGTTCCGGTTTTATAACCTACTTGACGAGACAGTTACGGTAAACAGCCCGAGGGATGCTGTTCTAAATTTAATTAGGGGTATGAATCCTGAAATTTTTATCCTCAGTATTATTAATGGATCTTACAATGCTCCCTTCTTCGTCACTCGCTTCAGGGAGGCTCTACTCCACTTCTCTGCATTTTTTGATATGTGTGATACCAATTTACCTCGTGAGGATCCGACGAGATTGATGTTTGAGGAAGAGTTCCTTGGGCGAGAGATTGTGAACACAGTAGCTTGTGAGGGCTCTGAGAGAGTTGTGAGGCCTGAGACATATAAGCAGTGGCAGGTTCGGAACACGAGGGCTGGGTTCAAACAGCTGCCATTGGACCGTGAACTCATGAACAAATTAAGGTCTAAGGTGAAACTGGGGTACCACCGTGATTTCGTGGTTGATGAAGATGGAAACTGGATGCTGCAATGGATGGAAGGGCAGGATTATCTATAGTTCCTCCTGTTGGGTTCCGTCTAGGTCCTGAAATGCATGCTTGTTAGAACTGAATTGACTTGCACAAATAGGCAGTTAACCATTGAAATTAACTTCTGTAGTTCTACATATATATAGATAGTGCTGTATTTTGCCATCACCAACCTGTCTTGGTGACTTTGTACTGGTTGCTTATCAGTATTCTAGTCTGCTTTGTTCGAACTTGCCCGGACTCTGAATCCTTCCCTTGTATATATATCATGCTAGCACTGCTTAAGTTTGTATTAGAAAGTTGATTTACGATGAACTATTGTAATGTTGAACATTGTAGTTTTCTTTTTGTATGTCTAAGTTGAATCTAATTGCCAAATGAAAGCAACTTTTACTTTTTTGGAATGCCGGGGAAGGATTGGTTACCGCTTTCACATTCATCCAAACTTTTGATCGCCGAGCTCAAACCAAGCGCGATGTAATCAAACTTATGGCTGACACCGTAGAGAGAGTGAAGCCCGTATGCGAAGTGGCAAAGGTAAGAGTAGTAGGTACCATTTCAGCTTCATCAACTTGAAAAGTAACACCTAGAGAGAGAGGGAAAAAGGAACGATGGAAAGACAAAAAGGAGTCCTGCTATACAACAGTGCCATGCATTTGTTAAAATTGGCTTTGTTAAGCTTTTCTTGAATTCTTAAGCGTACATTTAGCTGTTAAATTTAGTAATTTATACTACTCATTGGTGTACTTCAAAATTTTCGAACTGAAACGATAAGGGATGTAAAATTGGTCGTGTTTCAGACGCATAGATAATTTATGAGGAACGCAACCCTTTGTAGTTTCCAAGGAAGCCGACTGATACGTGAACAATAGAGCAGAAAATATGCTTGTTCTGGATTGCAACGTGAGTAAAGCTAAAATGATGAGATCAATCTCACTAGGTCACCTTATCATAATATCCTAAAGAGTTATGCTAGCTAGCATGTGAGTCGCTCGCATGCGTGACCGTGGCCGTTCATGCACCACAGAATTCAGGTGTATAGGTTTGTTTGATGATCATTTCGTTTTTTATCTTCGATTTTTCTCTTTTACTTTGAAAAACTGCAAACTAAAAACTTGTGCGGCTATCAAAGGGGCGCGTAATTAAACAAAATAGATACAACACAAGAACGCAGCTGATGACACACTGAATAGTGAATACAACAGAACAGCTAAACTGAGCAATACACAACGACGGGTCGTGTCAACAATCAGCAGACCATCCTTTGTAAGATCTTACGGATCTCAAATAAGGACACTACAAATATCTCTATGTTCTCCAATGCGCCATACGTCTGCAAAATTTGCAACATGCCGACAATTAGTACCTTGTAAACTTTTTTATTTTTGTTTCTATATTCATGGAACTCACCAAATATGGGTCATTCAATTTGTCTATCAAATACTATATCAGTACATTTCATGCATAAGTTGTGTTACCGTTAGTTGCATACCAGCACGTGAATTATATCTCTACTCTTGATGGTTGTGGAACTCACACATTAAAGGTTATATTCCGTTGAATCCCATGCGCACTTGATGTGATATCATTTTTTCTCCGGTGCATTGGTGAGTAAATTTAATGACTCCCTATACAACATTCAGTGTTCTAAAAATCGACCTAAATGGCTAACCATTGCCTCCATTAGTCCATAACCATTTAAAAAATTAAAAAGTTTATTAGACATGCGCTTGAACGAACTAGGTCAGTTGGACGCGCGCGGAAGTGCCTAAGTTGGCAGGTCAGAGAGTGATATTTATTTTTCAAAAGGTGACTTAAATTTTCGTCAACCACAAAAACAATGCTTCGACTTTGGATGGTGTTCATTAATTGTATTTGCCATTGTGGTTTTGATTTGAGAATAAAAGGGAGGAGATAACGATGGCGAAAGGTTGCTTTAGGGCTGGTTTGGTATTGTTGTGCTTTGAAAAAAAAGCTACTTTTGATATGCTGTGAGAATAAGTAGCTGTAAAATAAAGCAGCAGAGTGTTGGGTAAACTTTTTTGTAAAAGTGCTTTTGAAAAAAAAAGAAGTAGTATTATAGTGTTTGGTAAACTTTTATGTAAATCAGATGTGAAAAAAAACCAGTTTTTCAAAGCTGGGTTTTGCAGCTTCTTGTTTTTGGTTTTTTTTCACCCAAAACTGTGAAAAAAAGCTGAAACTGATTGTTTACCAAAATAGCTCCCAACTTTTTTTGATACCAGCTTTTTTCAGAATCACTTCAGTACCAAACTAGGCCTTAATCTACGATCATGGTTTGTGTGGTTGAGGTTCTGTCACGTCCTCACATCGTTATGTGCCTGCATGAACACGTTTACTCGAGAGGAGGAGAGCGACGAGAGAGTGAGAGTGGAAGAAACTAGAACGTCTAGAAGACTACAAGTATTGCAAATTGCCTGTCGGCTCTCTAATCTCTATGGAGGTCCAAATCACTTCACATCTCTTAGGTAGCGTTTGGTACGCAGACGGGACGGGACGGGACGGAACAGATGTTCTGTGTTATGTTTGGTACGCGCAGGACGGAACAAGACGGTTGTTCCGTCCTGCGTTTGGTAGCACATGGACGGAACGGAACTAAAAGATTAAAATGACTAAAATACCCATGTTCCGCTGTTGTTTGGTACAATTTTATGGGCGGAACGGGACATGACTCTTTTTTTTTATTTTTTTATTTTTTTAAGTTGTTCAAATTTGAACACTATTATCCATTATTTGTTTTTCTTGGTCCAAATTTTAATAGGTATATATTGTGTTTCACATGCAAACCCCTTTAAAATTTGTAATTTTTCCCATTTTCTACACCTCCATTCGAATTTTCACCACAAACCCATCAAATTTTATTGTGCAAATTGCAAAACCCACACCCCAATTCAATTTTTAGTCCCTAATTTTGGTCCTTTCAATTGTGGGTTGTTGTTTAGGGAGTTTAGGTTCTACAAACATTAGAATTGGCCTTGTTTAGAAGGACACCCTCTAAATAGCTCCCAGCTTTTTTTGATACCAGCTTTTTTCAGAATCACTTCAGTACCAAATCAGGCCTTAATCCACGATCATGGTTTGTGTGGTTGAGGTTCTGTCACGTCCTCACATCGTTATGTGCCTGCATGAACACGTTTACACGAGAGGAGGAGAGCGACGAGAGAGTGAGAGTGGAAGAAACTAGAACGTCTAGAAGACTACAAGTATTGCAAATTGCCTGTCGGCTCTCTAATCTCTATGGAGGTCCAAATCACTTCACATCTCTTAAGGCACCAAAACAAATTACATGTCATTTTCTTTTCCCCTAAGTAGTACCAAAGTTGTCTAAAAAAAGAAATACTAGACGAGACTCCCTGCCAATAATAGGACCATTTAAGCATTATTAACAGGATAATTTCGACATAAAGGGGATTGTTTAAAAGTTGTACCAGACATTCACTCTTTTATACCCAAGTCTAAACTTTATTCAAATGAGCAGAGGCGAAGCCATGAAAGGGCCATAATGGTCTTGGGCTAATCCGAAACTAAGGGAGGGGCATATCATTAATAACTTTCAATTTCAATAGTTTTAAAAGTCAAGCTCTTTCACACATTGGCGGAGCCACCCACAAGGCTAAGGTGGGTTGTAGCCCAAGGAGGTTTTTTTTTTTTGTAAGTATAATGCTATCTACACAACCATCAAAGGGCCATAATTGTCTTGGGCTAATCCGAAACTAAGGGGCATATCACTAATAACTTTCGATTTCAACAGTTTTAAAAGTCAAGCTCTTTCACGCACGGGCGGAGCCACCCACAAGGCTAAGGTGGGTTGTAGCCCAGGGAGGTTTTTTTTTTGTAAGTGTAGTGCTATCTACACAACCATTTTTATTTCTCACATATCCTTTTTAGTTTTTGGCATTAAAATCGAATGAATTGATGAAGATGAATGACAAAAAATCAATAAGGGTGTGTGAATAACACTATTCTTTTTTAAACTTGTGCTTTAATGGCTTATGTTAATGCATGTAGCCTATATAGTCAACTCAATTCCAATACAGGTTATTATTTCATGCATATTTAGTAGAGGATAGGTAATAAATAATACTTTTTATGTTAAAAATAATAAAGGGGCTTTTAGATCCAGGTCCAAAAATGTAGAGTGTTTTTAGGAGTGAGTCCAGTTATCTAATTATATGTTTTTATTTCTTTTATACTCATTTTATATTTTCTAAAAATATGAAAAATCAATTAAAATCTTCTAATATTATGCATTTTCCAACTCCAAAAGAATATATTTAATATCTTATAACAAAAATACTAATATACTAACATAAATTTATCTATAAAACATTCTACCCTAACTCAAGTAACAAATATATGAATGTATATAATACCTATACGTGAGATATGAAATCTAATTAAAATGTAGAAAAAACATAACATACCTACAAGTAAGACACATTAATCTGTGACAGGTTGATTATAAAAAAAGAATCTGTCATATAGGTAGATAAATATAATTAACCTGTGATATAGGTTGATTATAAAAATTAAAAATAAAATCTATAAATGGGGTTTAAAGTAGGAGGAAGAACGAGAAATAACAAAAAGATAAATAAAAAGAAATAAGCAAAGAGATAATTGGGCAGAAATTTGATTTTTATAATAAATCTTATCATTGAACATATAACTATTGATAATTAAATAATTAAATATAATAAATTGGACTTATTTTAATAAACTGGACTATTCCTACTATTGGCTCAAAAAATTGGACTTATAGCAAGTTTCCCCAATAATTAATTAATAAATTAGTTCTATCTCCCCTCCCCCTTCTATCCTATTCGTTAAAGAAAAATATCATTTACCCTATGCGATTTAGCCTCTATACTTTTTACTCAAGAAAAAAAAAAAGAATTTTCTTTTAGTTCACATTAAATCCCTATATCTGCAAATCCTTACTTTTCGTTGCGATTTTCCAATAAATGTAACCTTGGTATGTTCTTAATTGCTCTATTTACTTATCGTTGATTTATTTAGTAGGTTAATTATTTATATGGTCCTTGAAGTTGTCAGTTAGGGTTATGATTTCAAGAATTGTTTATATTCTATTGTTGTTTTTTTGATATTGATTATAATTTTATATAAGAAAAAAAAATAAACATATGATTTTATGGTACTAATTTTAGCTAGCCCACGCAAGAAAAAAATCATGGTTTCGCCCTTGCTTTCACGCTAGTTGTTTTTACACCACATGATAGTGAGTGAATTAGATACACAAACTTAGTCCAGTCGTACCAAGTCAGCTCAAGGCTACCTTGATATTATTTTCACACAAAAAAAAACCTAGAGTTATACCTTTGATTTCCAACAATATATATATATATATATATATATATATATATAT